TCAGGCAGGGGCTGGGGGGTCTGAGGGGGGCTTGAGGGGGCTTGGGGGACGAAAAAAAAGCACGTTTTGGGGATAGAAAAAAACACATTTGGGGGTGAAAAAAGCACATTTTGGGGATAGAAAAAAGCGCATTTGGGGGTGAAAAAAAAGTACATTTTGGGGATGAAAAAAGCACATTTTGGGGGTAAAAAAAGCGTATTTTAGGGGTAGAAAAAAATCACATTTTGGGTATAGGAAAAAGTCACATTTTGGGGATGAAAAAACACATTTTGGGGGTGAAAAAAGCACAATTTAGGGATGAAAAAATTATATTGTGGGGATGACAAAAGCACATTTTGGGAGTGAAAAACAGCCCATTTTGGGGTCAAACCTGCCCTGTGTTGCAGCGTGGACAACAGCGAGTACATGAGGAACGGGGATTTCCTGCCCACGAGGCTCCAGGCCCAGCAGGACGCCGTGAACATCGTGTGCCACTCCAAAACCAGGAGCAACCCCGAGAACAACGTGGGGCTCATCACCCTGGCCAAGTACGGGGGGCCTGGGGGGGCAACTGGGATTTGGGGACCCCCAGGAAGGGCTGGGGAGACCCCCAGGGCACAGGGGGGGGGGCAGGGGGGTGTTGGGGGTCACTGGTATTTGGGGACCCCCAGGAGGGCACAGGGGTGGGAGCAGGAGGTGTTGGGGGTCCCTGGTATTTGGGGACCCCCAGGGCACAGGGGGAGGAGCAGGGGGGTCACTGGTATTATTTGGGGACCCCCAGGGCACAGGGGGGGGAGCAGGGGGGTGTTGGGGGTCCCTGGTATTTGGGGACACCCAGGAAGGGCTGGGGAGACCCCCAGGACACAGGGGTGGGAGCAGGGGGGTGTTGGGGGTCACTGGTATTTGGGGACCCCCAGGAGGGCACAGGGGTGGGAGCAGGAGGTGTTGGGGGTCCCTGGTATTTGGGGACCCCCAGGAGGGCACAGGGGTGGGAGCAGGGGGGTGTTGGGGGTCCCTGGTATTTGGGGACACCCAGGAAGGGCTGGGG